TTGTTCCAAGCATGTTCATACGAGGCTTGCATCTTGCGGATATCACTGTCATGAGAACGTTGTTGGGACACGATTTGTCCTTTCAGCTCGTCAATGAGAGCGGCATCGCGTTGTGCTAATCCCTCGAGCGTTTCGATGGACTGCTTCATCGCTTTTGTTTTACGTCGTTCCTCCAGGAGGAGTGTTTCTTGTCCCTGAAGGGTCCGACGTAAAGTGGAAATCGTGGTCATTTCATTTTGAATGGCCGCTTCATGCCTCTCCTGAAGACCCTTGATGGCTGCTAAATGCTCTTCTTGCAGTGTTTTAATCATACGTTGGTGTTCTCGTTCGGCAGTTTCGAGCGCAATGGAGAGTTGCTGCTCTTGCCATTCCGACGTCTCTTGTTGTTCGGCTTGATACTGATGCTGGCATCGTACCAATTGTCGTTTGGTTTCTTGCAAGTGCAACTCCAAGTGTTGCAAGTCCTTTTGCAAGGATTGAATCTCGGTCGAGGTATACCATCCGACAGTTTCGTGGCGAAAGGCAATCACCTTGGAACGTAGCTCGTCCATGCGTAGATGATACATGGAGGAAAGCTTGGTATGATGGGCCGTTACTAGTGTTATTTTTTGGTCCTTCCAATCAATGGGAAGTGACTTCCATACGGCGGGCAGGACTGCCGCTACAACCAGAGCATCAAGCAGCGTGCTATGGACCTGTGACAGTTGTGCCACTGTAAGGATAAGAATGGGAAAGGCCAATACAAACGTTTGCATTCGTGACTGTAGTTTCTCGTTGGATCTTTGTAAGGCACTAAGCGATTCTTCCATGAATCGAACCGAAACATTGGAGAGATGTTTCACGCGGTTCACCAACCGTTGGGTCGAACCCGTCTCGAAACAGTTGAAGGAAGATGTCATTTGGAACGAACGTTCGTCTGTATGGAACGTCGATGATTGATACAAGATACCCACAAGAGATGCCAAAGAGCCACTGGACGATACTGGGGACGATTTTTCTCGTTCACCGAAGATGCCACTGCGTGATTTGGGAGTTGTGACGGTCCCTCCGAAGGCTTCGTCAAAAGTTTCGTTGAGGGCCTTACAAAGTAAAGGAGACGACGGTCTCTTTTGTTGTGGTTGCTGTATAGCAGATGAGCCCATTACTTTTGTCGTTGTTGTGACACTAAAATAGCCGATGGTGTGACAAAAAGTGTGATAGACGAAACTTGTAGTTTGAGATGTATTTTAAATGCCTACTAGCTAGCTACTAGATTAGAGGTTTCCCATCAGTGAGTGAGATTTAGGTCGTTTTGTCTAAGTATTTTGGTTTGGACGGGGTTGGTGATTGATACTTAATGAAGTTTTGTTTAACTGTTGACACCTTTTAGCGAAAATTTCTAATCTCTGAATATCCAAAGAGCGAGTTCCGCCACCAAAACATAGGTATGACGTTACTCCGCTGTTCGTCGTCGTCATCAAAGGTACTGCGTGTTCCAATTTTGCCTTGTTTGCGACGGACTGAATACCGGTGGTGGCACGATCTCGCGACGATTGTACGAAAGATCCCGTCGTTTGACGGATGTCGGTTAATGGTCCAGCTACTAGCTACTGTCGTACTGTATGAGTACAGAAGTAAAGATTTCAAAGATGCATTATTGTTTCCGTCGTATGCCTCTCAGACTGAAGAAGATCCGTTCACTGCGCAATTCGACTATTGTTTGCTTCGCAGCGACAACAACACCATTCTGCTGCTAGATGATAGATGGTTGATGAAGCAACCATAGGTTCTTGGTCCTTTATCGGGACGGCTGCAGTGAACCTGTAACTTCATTGATAAAGAGAGTGACCTCCCCCAAAGTCATTGCGGTCGTTACAGAAGACAGACAAAAAGAAACAAACGATGCATAGGCAAAAGTTCATGTCGTGCACTTTTGCGCCCTCATAAAAAGTCAATGAGTTTTTTGACCAAATGGACTTTTTTGATTAGATTGTTGAAACGCTACGATTTTTGGATGGATGATGATTTGGCCTCTAATTTTGACCATCGCATCTCCGAGGACGCACACAGTTCCACAAGTTTTGGGTACCTTACACTCAAGTGTTGTTCATCAACCTTGGTACCGAGCAAGGACGGGTCGAAACAAAAGAACTACCAACAGATACTACTGTACGTTACACTGAACCAGTAGATCTCATGTACGATGACTTCTGGTGAGATTTCGAGGAAACACCCGATAGATCTTACTCATTGTCGTCGCAAATTATTACCAAATTTCGAGCAATTTGACTGCAAAAGAATCATTGGCAATCATCGAGCTCCAGAAGGGAAACATCGAACTTCCAAAAAAATTGCGAGAACTTAGAAGAAAATTTCTTACAGTGAATCAATCTGTTGTGAAAATGCTCGCAACAAGAAACAAGTACGACGTAGAAGAGACATCACTGAGGGATGGTCGTATCAATCGAGATCGCAAACGAAACGGAAAAGTGAAATGGATTCTGTGGACACACCAACATTTGATGGTCAACCAATATGAAAACTTTGACAGCAACGTTTTTGGATGCCATCGCAGTAAAAGATCCGAGCTAAAGATAACCTTATTGCATCTTCCACAATGAAAAGACGACCGTTATGCATCTCATATACGCACATTCGGAGCAACGGAAATCTGTAAAGTGCACTATTCTGCCCAAAGTAAAATTTGATGAACGTGGTATTCCTTTCGCTTCTTCGTTGGATATGAAAATGAACACCCCGGAGAAACGTATCTTTCCAAACACAGAAAACCTGCCGGTGCAGAGTTTTTGGTTGGTCAGGTTTGGCCAAGGGGGAGAAAGATAACGATGATGACGACGGCTCAAATGAAAACGCTCAAGGAACTGGGACCAGTGGCCTACCACAAACGTGGTAGTTGTTCATTTTTGGAACACCACTGAACGTGTCTTGCGATCTGGAAGTTACGACAGCTTGTACTGAAGTGCTGTCCGCTCCCGTTGAAGCACCTACAGTCGCTTCAATGATAGATTGGAATCTTCTCATATTTGTCCCGCATGATCCACCATCAGTTTTATTTAGAGCGTTTCTTTTGTTGTTTGGAATCATGGACCATATGGATGGCACATCCGCCTGGACCTGTTTGGGCAATGAGTCCATTGTCCGTAGAGCGTTTTCTATACATTATTTTCACTTGGATTCTGTGCTACGGTAGCTACTTATTATACTACTAGCAAGCGGTAGATCTTCCTGTATGGAATTCATTGCGACCATACGGTAATACTCGAAGTTGCGAAGTTGCACAAACCAAGTGCGTAAGCATCACAAAGCGAAGTTTCCACGCGGAACATCCATCTTGGCATCACAAGAGTGTGTCTTTCGTTTACAGTTAATTGATTTTACATTTTACTGTTATTATTATATTATTAATATAATATAACTGTAGTAGATTAGATTTGAACGAATGGTATGTACGTCACATTCCATCACGTGCTGACTGTGAAGTCCTGTACGTACTTCAGCAGCAGAAATCGAACATCACAACATGATCCTTCTGTCGTATGATACATCATCTTGACAGTGAACGAGCAGCTGTTAAAGGGAATTCCATCAACAACGAGACTCACAGTGAACAAACTTAATACTACGGGTACTACCTCAAAGCAGCTCCTAACATCAGTTATTGAGTTGTCCCTTTTCATTTCCGTGTTGTCAACTTGGCATCTAGTTCAAACTTGAAAGCTACAAATTATTACTGTATGACGTACCGCCAATCCATCACTCGTCATTTCTGAGAAAGCATTTAATTCCATAATATGATGGTGCAATCAAAGAAAACAAATCGTTCAGTCCTTTTCTTCGTCTCTATGGTGGCCATGATGATGATAGCACGATCAACAACACCAACCATTCTTTCTGTATCTGCCTTTACGACTCCTTCTTTTGTACAATGTGGAACATCATCATTCCCTTCCACTGCTTCTACCACCACAAGACTGTTTGAAATTATAGAAGCCATGACAGAAAATGAAACTCCAATTGATGAAGGACAAGGTGGTGTACGGTTGGCAAAAGAATCGGCCATTAAGATTTATGGAAGTATCAAACACAAACCTGGCAGTGCCGATGCTACCGCCAAGGATTTGGTCCGCTATTTCAATTTACAAACCGTACCCAATGCGGTCGAATTGTTGCAACAGTCCGGCCATTCCATCTTGTGTCATGGACAGGGCGTCGAACTGTACAAAGATCCTGGAACAACTACAGTAAAAGAAGTGAAGTATGCTCCCGATGAGGCCGTCAAGGATGCACTGGTGAGTGCCGCTTCGGCCATGTCCAGCACGGAATTAGTGTTTAACTTTTTGGGTGGTGACGATTTAATTTTGGGACAAGTCTTGGATGCGTGTAACACCTTGACCGTCGATTTGGACATCCCGACCAAGTGCCAATTGAAATTCAACTCGTTGTGTCATCAGAGCATTCCTGCCGGTACATGTACCCTCACCGTCGTGACGATAGGTACTGGAGAGAAGGGAAATGATGACAATGATGACACTGCGGCTGGTGGAATCAAACAGGCCCTGGCACAAGGAGAAGTCTATCTACGAGATGGAATCTATTACACAGTCGTCGAGTCGGATATCAACCCAGCCATCGCCTAAACTGGTTTGAAGAAACGATGCGTAACGATCAACATAGAAGTAGTATGAAAGATGTTCCGAATATCCTTTGAAATCAAATAAGGTATACTACGTACTACATAAATCATACGTAGTACTACGCATTACAATGTTACTTGCACCATGCCCAGTAGGAAAAAACATGACCTCCAACAACTACCAAGAGGTATCATACAGATATGGAATGGTTCAAAATTCAAAATACTCCTACTTAGTTTCCTCATGTCATCGCAAAAGTTGACAGAAACATGGCTTGCACCTAAAAAGGTACTTTCATTTTGCCGCAGTCGTAGTTGTAACATCTTGCAAAAGAAAAAGTCATACATGAACATGTTTGCAAAATTATAGCTCAGGATGGTTTCGATCCATCGACCTTTGGGTTATGAGCCCAACACGCTACCTCTGCGCCACTGAGCTGCGTTAGACGTACGTGAGGAAAAATATGTTATAATCCCAATTGCTGATATTTTCTTTCGCACAAACATCTTTGGTCACGCACGCTCAATGTCATAATTCATCACGACACACATCTTCAGTGATTGCCTTGGTGGTGCCAGTCGTAGTTGTGGTAGTAGTCGTTGGGAGGTACCAGCGCTTAGAACATTCTCAAGAACAAAGCAGCTCTCCTCGAAATAAGGTACCTTTCCTGCTTCGTGAAAAAGTAGGTTCGTCGGGACATCGCTTCCGACATCGACGGACGGATCTTCCATCTCCCGCCGAATGGATGGGCATCTTGCCCTTTTCTGTTCCATTTCATTCCACTCAAAAAACAAATCAATTATCTAATTGTTAAATACTAAATCGTTTCATCGACATGTAAAAAATTGACAACAATACGGCTGTTCGAGTTCAAGCTTCTTCCTCTTCTTTGTCCGAAGTGGCAGATGAACTCTGATCTTTTTCGGCGGATATTTCTACCGTTTCTCCACGATGAGTGAGGGATGGAATCAGGGCCTTGGCGGCCGATTGTTCCGATTCGATCAATGCTTCGTCGTCATCTTGTTCCTCAGGAAGGACAGCATTCAAAAACAACGCCACCAAACATCCAATGGCATATCCAGTTCCCAACGTCAGAACTGCCGCATCACACAAGCCACGAACGGCAGGACTTTCAATGGTGGGGCAGTCCAAAAAGTTTCCATTTCTGAACCACTGAGGTACAACAATGGTTCTACGATGACAAAAAAGGAAGAGCTATGAGCATCATCCCAAAGAAACGTGTATTGGTTGTGACTTGCACAATCAGAGCTGTACTTCTCTTCGATACGTACCCAATTCCAAACGCTGACGACACGGCCATGATGAAACGAGAGCGACGGCAAATTCCATAAGAAGTCATTACCTTGATTCCAGAAAAGGTAATGTTGGCAAACAAAAAGGCTGTTTCACACAACAATATTAAAAGAGATGTAATGACTCGTTAGATCGGCATGATTGCATACAAAACACATCACACGACGATTGAAAAATAACGTACTAGACATGCCACCCAAGACGGGTTGTGGGATGCTGGTAAAGAAGGCTCCAACTTTTCCAAGAAGCCCGTATAGGAACATCCATATTCCACAGGCAAATCCTGCATCTCGAGCTGCGACCTTGGTCAACGAAATGATTCCAATGCTGTAATGAAGAAAAAAAAGACGGTCAGACCAGGTACGACACCATCATAAAGACCATGTCTTGTATTCAACTCACTTTTGAGAAAGGGTGGTGCTGGGCAAGACCATTGAAACGGCCGAAATAATCGAGTTGATGGAATCTCCCAACAGTCCACCTTGAATGGCCTCATCGAATTCCTTGGTCCCGCGTTCAATGCCCGACGCCTGACAGGTGGCACTGGTATCACCGTACGTTTCAATGGTCGACACGACGTAGGCGATGAGTGTCGGAAGAAGTGCGGGTGTGTAAAACCCGATAGGAAATGTTTTGGTCCATAGAAAGAGAATTGCAGGCGCCTCCTGGACTTTCGTCAGATCGACATAACTGTCACCGTTGCGATCGGTGGTGATGGATGCCAAAACGTATCCCATCAACAACGCAACGGCAATACCACAACTTCGGAAGAAGGGAGATCCAAACAATTCAATGAAGCAAATGGTGGAAAGGACAAAGAATCCCAATCCAACATATTCGGCCGAGCCAAATCCTAGATTGGACTGTCCCACTTGGGTACATTCCAAATCTGGGCTGGGAGCGCAATCGCCGCCACCTCCCCAGGAGCGGACACCAGATCCAGTCAAGTTGACACCAATCAAAAAGACACCGAGTCCGGCCAACCATGGTGGAAAGACACGTCGCAAAATTCTTCCGGGAATAAAGGAAAAGGACGATTGAAAAATAGCACCGACAATAAAGACACCCAACAAGCTTCCGTAGGCTTCATCAAAGGTCTTGCCTTCGTTCATCATGGTGGTAATGGATTGCTGGGCGGTCGGCAAAAAGGCAAAGGACCTGGCAATCACACAGAGCATCCCACTACCGACATAATATTTGGTCCTCCAAATTTTTGTGTGCAAAATTTGAATCCACGTACAGATGCCTGGTAGTAAAGAAAGACCGAAAGACCAGGTAAGATGTATGGTATACAGTGCGTTGCATGAAGCACGTTTGGATTTGTACAATTCTTCTAACTTACCAGATGTCAAAAGAGCATACGACACAAGGTACGGTCCAGCTTGTCCAGAGGGATCTTGGTTACCAAGCAAAATTCCGGGAACGACAGTTCCACCAACCACGGCCAAGGAGTGTTGAAATCCCAAAATGGCCACCAAGAGCCATGCCAGCTTGTCGTCCTTTCCATAGGACGGCAAGGGAGCTTGATTTTCCCTCTTCCATGGATTCAAGCGTGGTGTGCACAAGCGGACATAATCGTAATCGCCGAGAATGCGTTCCTTCCAAGTGAGTTTGGAACGACTATCGATGGAAGTCTCACCCTCCGAAGCAACGGGAATAGTCGTGGAAGAAACTGCCGTCATTTCCATGGTACCAGGAGTCCTTTCAAATAAAATGGGGGTGTTGTCGTTGGTTTCTGATGCCATTTACAGTTAAATTTATGATTGCTTTCATTGTTTGGTTTGTAACTGTGGAATTGGGTTGAGCTGCGAGAATTGTATTTGAAAATCGGAAGTATCTTTTCGTTGACCGGAAGTTTATTTGGGTTCTTCATCATCATCATAGATAACTGTAAATTTACGTATCCAGAGATTACTTTTTGTCATCTTCCGTGACAGACGGTGGAAGAATTTTTTTACTAGTAAAATAATGAACTACCAGAGAGTTGCCTTTCAGGTAGGCATTGGAACTGATCTACAAACTGCTTCCTTCAACTTCAACGGAGGCTTGGAGAAAGTTGAGTGGTCTGTGAAGAAGTAGAAAATGACGTGGTTGGAGGAATTTATTAGATTGTCTGTTGAAAATCTGGAATCATTCATTGCCGACATGTTGTTGTTCGATAAAGCGAGGAGTATCATTGCCGTTCGAGATGGAGGAAGATTTTACTATGATACACCACCGGGTAGTCCATTTATTTCGTTAAGGAGAAAGATACTATTGGATGATCAAAGCATCCTAATACGCACTTTGATCCTATCTTTCATTCCTTTAAGATTCTCTGTTTGTCCTCAAACAACACATCCATGAATAATTATTTTTCTGGTTTCTACGACGGTTGATTTCAAGCACTTCTCACCCTTCCTCTTTTCACGTCCTTTTAGTCACCCCTCAACTGGTGTTTCGGTTTTTGTGATTCGTCATCATGTTCGTACTGTAGACAGATATGCTACATACCTCTATATCGATGTCAGTGATGTCCCAGGTATCATACGACTACCGTAGAGAGTACCGGTACATATGATAGATGACTGATGATGATGACGGTCCCGCCCTCCATTCCATCCAAGAAGAGAGAAATAGACCAACGAGTACTTGAAATATCTTGTTGTCTTCACCAAGAGAGGCAAAGAACAGATGTGTGGATTCAGTTGATTGTGAGAATGTCGAACGAAATGCTTGATAACGAACCATGCATTGCCGCTTCAACACTAGCTACCATGGACAGTAGACTACGCGAGATAATTGATTTCGTCAATCAAGGACGATTCGCTGGTGAGAAAAGATACGAAATATATCATTTTTTATCCAAACAAAGAATAATAAATGAAAGAGAACACCAAACTTCTCGAATCTTCTGAGAGGATGGACCAAAGTTTTTTTCTCTGGCAATTGGAGATGGAGTGACGAAGAGCTTGTTGATTTCGCCCGTGTCGCGATTGAATGATAGCCTCCGTAGAAGCAAAACCAGCATCGAATTATCACATGACTGAAATTGGCCATTGTCCTTTGCTGCCAATCATTTAAAAATTGGCAACGGAATATTGGAATGAAGTCGATGAAGAGGCCTATTTCCTCATTCAATCCAGCTGTCAGCACGGGAAAGACCAAAGATTGTACGAATACAGGAAGGCTTTACGACGTATACCAGGTAGGAATTTGCATCCAAGGCCATGAAATGTTGGAAATTTATACCCAAACCAAACCCATCAAAGAAAATGTGTATGATGATTACTTCGATGCAGAGGATGGCGAAAAGAAATCCAATAAGATTCGAATTTCAAACGCTACAACCTTGCCTTGACTCCATGATGGTCAAATAAGGGGAAGAAGATGTCACGAATTCGTGTAATGAAGCGAAAGTGTGGTTGTGATGAAAGAAAATCTATTTCAAGGCTGTACGAGCCAGCTACCAGCTGTCATTGATTCTGCATCTGAAATGCAACAGCTTTCCGTCCACTCAGTACCCTATTGTACACCACTCAGTACTGGAAAGGCAAAAACCTCACGAATGAGGAAGAATCCAAACCAGTGAGTGTCAGATTTGGCGTGATCTTCCAAAAAGAATGTTGGGAAGGCAGCAATTAACCACATAAATTTGTTGCTTGGTGTTGATATCTTCTACCTGTTGCAACCCAATAGGGCGGATTGTACTTCGGCGGATTGTACTCGTACGTAAAAAAAAGAAAGCCTTTTCCATGTCAAGCACAAGTGCAAATTCCAATCAAATAGTACCATCGCTCTGCACTAGACACTTGGCCGAGTTATCTATCAGGAATCACGAATAAACATTCTTCCTGCTCTCCCTTCAGCCCACTCCCAACTAACTGTGAAGAAGCGAAAAACAAACTTTCCGGTCGGACACCGGTTCTGCATGATGCTATGCGCAAGACAGCAGTTGTTTGTAGTACCGCTGAGACGATCTCTTCCGTTGCACTGACAGATCGTCTACAGTGGATTCTTACTGTTAGTTCCCCAGCCAGGCTCTGACAAACCTTGGTCAAGGTGATCCACTCAGGGGAATCGACTTCCCATTTTATAGTGCGCAAGTCTGAATACTCTTTCGTCCGAAAACACCGTATAAGATC